GCCAAATAAAGGGGAATAATCACTTCCCTAGATCTGCTGGCAATGCTCCTCCTAAGGCACCCCAATATGCCATTAGCCTTCTTGGCTACAAGGGAACCCTGTTGACTCATTTCCAGCTTCTCATCCACTGAAACCCCCAGGTCCTTTTCTGATGAATTGAGGTGAGGGAGAAAGAAGTGGAAATTGCAGTGATTAGAGGAAATGGAATGGATTGTGGGAAAAGGGGAGAGGGGAGACGAAAAAAGTGCAAAAGAACAATCTCCAGCTATCAGCACAGTTCAGGAGCATGGGTAAGAAATCCCAAATCCCCAAGAATATGAAACGGCAAGAGATTGGAAGGAAGAAGAGACCGGATGGCAGTCAACAAAAGACTTTCCACCCCACCCCAATTGGTGCTCAGGGGACTGGAATGAAGGAATAGTGGGTGAGATTCTTAGCTAGCCAAGCAGCGTTCAAGCCTTATCCAACAGGTGGGCTAAAGAAGGCCTGTGGGCCACCTCCAGCCCACCGGAGCTTCTGATCCGGCCCACCAATGTCCTGCGCCCCAGGAGACCTGCAGGTAGGCTCTGTCTGCCATGCCCCCACATGCCACCTGAGCACAGCTGCTAGGGCCACGTGCATGTCTGTATGGGCCCCCACCCCCATCACAATCTTTGCAGCTTTCACTGGCTAGAAACCAGCAATGGGAGGTTCCTACACTGCGCTTGTAGCACAGGCAGCCTGAGAAGCCCTCAAGGGACTCATATGGCTCCAACAGCTGGCTACTATGAGTGGCATGCAGGGGGACGGCAGGCAGGGAGCCAGAGTCCCGCTGCACTGCTGGCTAGGAACCACTTAAGTAAGTGCCTCCTGGTCAGAGCTTGCACATGGCCCTGCACCCAATCCCTCCCCCCTCCCTCCCACCTCCCAATCCCTCCCCCCCTCCCAAACCTCTGCACCCCTGCCCACAGTCACAACTCCTGTCAGACTCTGCACCCCCATCTTACATCTCTCTCCCAGTCTGAATGCTCCCCTGCACCCATACACCAGACCCTGCACCTCAATCCCGTCTCAGCTCACAGCCCTCTCCTTTACCCAAACGCCTTCCCAAACCTCATGTCAACTCCTGCATCCCAATCTCTTACCCTGAGCTCCCTTCTGGACCCAACCTCCATCCCAGACCCTGCCCCCGCCTCCATTAATATTATGGAAGAGCGCGGCCTTTCACCGCTTACCTAAATCTTGGCGTTCGCCCCCATCAAAAATGACTGACCACCCCATGACGACATGGGATAGCACCATTTTCTACTCAGACCCACAGAATTTACCTCGGTGGAAATTAAATAAGGGCCAAAATTTCTTCTTAAACCCACACAGGGTAAGTCTAGACTACATGGCTCCGTCGACAGAGCCATGTAGATGAGTTTACTAGATGTAGGAAAATGAAGTGGCGATTTAAATAATCGCCACTTCATATACATCAAAATGGCCACCGCGCTGTGCCGATCAGCTGTTTGGCGGCACAGCGGGGCAGTCTGGACGCGCCATGGTCGACAAGGGAAGGCATACCGGCAAGGCGATTATTTAAATCGCTGCTTCATTTTCCTACATCTACTAAACTCATCTACATGGCTCCGTCAATGGAGCCATGTAGTCTAGACCCGTGGTCACCAACCAGTAGATCGCGATCTACCGGTAGATCTCAGGGGCTCTAAGAGTAGCTCTTGAGCCCTCTCTGAACTGCGCACCTGCACAGTGCATTTATATTAGATTTCCTCATGTAATGTAGGTGGGGCGTCAAGGAAGGGGTGGGACAGTAGATCTTCTCCTGTTCTGGGACTTAAAAAGTGATCTTGGGTGTAAAAAGGTTGGAGACCACTGGTCTAGACATACCCAGAGTGTTAAGACTTGGTAAGGCTAGTGTGAAAGTTTCAACTCCAGTCCAGTTTCTATGATGATCTGATAGAACATCCTGCTGTTGTCTTTCTGATCCCTGGTCTTAGACCCTTGCATGGGTGCATATTATTGGTCTTTAATGTGGCTTTATTGGCCCATCTCAAAGGGTTGTTAGTTTTGGTATGCTAGGAGATAGCGGGCATTTGAAGCATTAGTCGCTACTTGTAGCAGTTTGTGAGCTCTGGCTAGAAAACAATGTCAGAACTCAAGTGGGGAGAAGGATGTGATTTTAAAAGGTTCAGTATCTGTGTGACCTGAAAGGGCTAGACAGACACACTGAGCCACTAGTGAGATGGCTAAAAGACAAAATTAAATAAAAGTAATGGAGATTGCCTATCTCCTAGAACTGGAAGGGACCATTGAGTCCAGTCCCCTGCCTTCACAGCAGGACCAAGTACCACCCCTGACTAATTTTGCCCCAAATCCCTAAATGGCCTCCACAAAGATTGAACTCACAACCCTGGGTTTACCAGGCCAATGCTCAAACCACTGAGCTATCCCTCCCCCCATAGTTACTGACGGACTCAGAAATACAAGACTGGAAGGGATCTCTACAGCTATACCAACTGCTGGACCGTGGATCATTGCTATTTTAATTCTGAACTGAGAGGGGGTGAAAGGGCAGAGCACGTCTCATGATGCTAGGAAAAATGGGGCAGACCACGTTCCAATTCACCAACCTCAGCTTCTCATGACTGAGTTACTGGTCAACTTTCACCAACCACTTTGACCTGGGAGATTTCTTGCCCTTCAGCACAGTGGCTTTTCTTTAGAAATAAATGAAGAGACTTCAACTTCCTAAAAAGTATATTTCTGAAGTGCTCAACAGCCTTTAATTCATTATGAACCTAGAGGCAAAGAAAAAAAATGCAAAAAAATACATCACATCCTTAATCTAAGAGGGAAAAAAATGGATAATTTTATAGCACGTAATCAAACACTTACAAATATATTTCACTGGGGGTGGGAAAGAAGTGTGCATTTCCTATTTCCTTTTTCATAATCTGATGCACAGAAACCTTCCACGTGGCCATTATAGATAAACTGCACAAGTCATTCCTGAATCAAACGATGGCTTTAAGAACAAACAAAAAAGGAAAAACCCAGCAACAAAGAAGGGCATTGCATTCTACAGTTCCAGATTCACGTTTAAACATAACTCACCAGCTGAATATGGGGCAGGGAAACACACTTTTTTTTGTTGTTTTTACAATATAAATAGTATTTAAAAAGGTACTACATATGAATACAGTAATGGTGCTACTTAAGTCAGGACTTTAACATGCAGAGGAAATCCACCCATAGCTCACAACCACCCACCTTACCCACCCCACCTCCCTTCCAAAAAAATCCTCTGCTGTTTAAATTCTCTTTCGATTGTTTAAAATATTTCTCTGTGACCTGGCAACATTAAAACATCCATTTTTTTCTTTTATACAAGTACATTACCCTTTCAATCATGTTCTAGCCAACAGGATACAGTGATGCAGGAGTAATTGCTACACAGGTGCAGCAGCAAATAAAGGAAAGAGGCTTCTTCTAGGTTCTAATTCTTCTCTCCAAAATGACATGAACCGAGGCTTTTAAGAACCTTGTCCTTTTTTTTCTTTAAAAAAGTACATTCTTCTTTTATAAATTCAGTCTAATGCTTTTCTGGAGGCAGATTCATTTGGAGGAGTTGAAAACTTAAAAAAAAGAAAAGAAAAGAAAAAAGAGCACAACACCTCACAGCTGAGGCAGCAAGGAAAGGGAATTCTAATCCCCCCAAAAAGAACACTGACCGGGACAGTGGAATAGCCATCCAGCCTCTTAAGATGCTAATTACCACATTCACCCTCGATCCTCCCATTTACTCCCCTAAAGATGTCTAAATGGTTACTTAAAAATATAGACTCTATGACAAGAGAATATTGTTCCTCTCTGCCCAGGAATTTTAGGGACTCAAGTGGAAAAGATTGCTGAGGACGTGTTTCCTGCATAGCTTTGTCAATTCACAGGCAAAGACACAAACGTGAGCTTAAATAGGAGCTGTGCATGTACCATGCCCCACCCCCACCCCGTCTATACACACACTGCAGCAGCCTTATCTCCCTGCAGTTCCCTACATTATTTCGCTCCACTTCAAACCTGACTCAAACTCTGCTGACCTCAATATAGGAGCCTCTTTCCACCAATTTTGTGGGTTTTGGATCAAGCCTTTTTAATGCAACACCGCTCCACAACAGCTCTCCAGCAGGAGGTGCTCACACCATGTTCAGGGGGATCTGCTCGCTCACTATTTCAAGATTTGTTTCTGACTTTAATACTCATTTAATACTCCACAAACAGCCCAAACAAATGCAGCTTTCATCCTGCTTCACTAGGAGCATCTCAAAGGCTCACTCCTTGTCACAACAATCAAAGGTGTTTGGGGAATTTCTTCTTTAATGGGGGGACAGGGAGGGAGAGAGACAGTGACACACCTCCAAGGCTTCTGTCACGGAATGATTTGCACAACTGTATGCTGCACAGCTCAAAAACAAAGAAAAACAAAAGACAAAAGATTCCTGTGGGAGAAATGCTGACCAGAGAGTCAGTACAATCCTCTCGCACTCCATTCTGTGCTAGGAACGGGAGTGGCAGCAACAGAACCATGTCTGCCAGAGCTGTGAGGGGACGAATGAAGTGGCAAATCTGAACTGAAAGGCATGCATTGCGGGAGGCTGCGGAGTCCAAGTGACTGCAAAGATGAGGAAGGAAAAGGCAAGGAAGAGGTGTTAGGGGAGCAAATACCAATATCCAGCCATTTCTCCAATGGTTGCCCTTTGCTGATGACAGGGCAGAACCCCCCCCCCCCCCCCACGCTAACTTTGCTACGAAAAATTTAATAAGACATTTCTCCTCACCTTTCCCCAGGATACAAAGAAAACATTGCTTTAAAAAACAACCCACGGTGCCTGTTCTCTCTCCCCACTGCAATGATAAATGACATTCCACTTGCGGGGAGAGGAGTGGGAATGATTTTATGTTTTTTTTTTTCAGTTTTAAAGCCACAATCTAGAAAAAAATTATTTGTGGAAATTGTCAATAAGACATTTCTCCTCACCTTTCCCCAGGATACAAAGAAAACATTGCTTTAAAAAACAACCCACGGTGCCTGTTCTCTCTCCCCACTGCAATGATAAATGACATTCCACTTGCGGGGAGAGGAGTGGGAATGATTTTATGTTTTTTTTTTTCAGTTTTAAAGCCACAATCTAGAAAAAAATTATTTGTGGAAATTGTCGCTTTCCTATTTTTGTGTGTGTGGTTTTTTTTAAATAATGCTCATTTATAGAAAACGTCACAAAGGTGATTTGTATGTACAGAAAACAGGATTCCAAAGGCTGCTTCAGTAGTCAGTGAAATAGCACCTTTTAAAGACAAAAGAGTTTGATGTGGTTTAAAAATCTGAGTCATTTCATTTTTCATCAATGTTAACCCTTTCCAAACCTTACAAAAAAGGAGCCAATCACAAAGCTCCATTAGTACAAACTCTTCCAAAGTCTTCACGCAAAACGCTGCCTGATGGGGGGTTGAGCTCCCTATTGGTCAGCAATGCATCTGACAGAGTAGAGGTAGCCTGTAGCCAGACAGGATTTTCTTGCAGTCCAAACCACGAGCAGAAGAAGGATTTCACAGCAGGCTATTGCACAGGGCTGGCCTTTTGTTCCACAGTTTCCTGGTTTATTTTTCATCAGGCTTGAAAAGGGTTAATTTTTTTTTTAACTATTAATCCAGGTTAAAACATGTTGCTCTGTGGTCCTGGTTGGTACTGCGTCTGCAGCAGGGTCTCCATGAAGGCCAAGTAATCTGGGTTCTGTCCATAGTCCTCAGGATTCCTGGAATTCCCCACTCGGGGACGCTTGGCCGCCTTCACTTCGTCTCCCGAAAATCCACCTTCCTGAGGGGCCCCAGTGCTGAGGGACTATGGGAGACACGAAAGCACAGTCATTAGAGGGGAAGATGCACACGAGAGAAGCCACCTGGTTAACAAAACTGCTTGGGCAGGGGAAGGAACCCTGCACCGCATACATACTAGAGAACTACTGAGCAAAGGGACAGCAAAGGGACTGGCTCAAAAGAACATGCTAGGCTTGTGGGACCAAACCCAAAAACTCCTGCTTCGTTTCTGTAGCTGGGGCTCTTCCCCCCTCTAACTCCTGTCCACAAATCCACCCGTCTGTCTGCTCAGGCCAGTCATTCACCGTACAAAGCCCCTGGTAAAGGTTCTCCTGCTTCCCTAGGTAGAGGGGTCTGTCTGTTGTACGAGGACATGACATTGCTCATACACGGCCTCTCGCTCTCAAACCAGAGCGTGGTTTATATTCTTGGTAAATGTGGTTACTTCCTTGAGCTTCTTTCCTTCAGTCAGTTGCTCTGCACTGAAGCACCTTGCGTGTCACACACATGGAACTCACCCTAAAAACTTCTGGGAACAGTTGGTGTACAGAAGGAATTAAGAGTTTCACGTCCATTGTGAATTAATCACTTTCATTGTGTGGGCATGTACACAGCAGGGAGGGGATGTGTGTGTGTGTCTGTCGCCCTGGAAATCTTGCAAAGCCTGAAGGTCAGTATCCACTAGAAGTGGTCTCTCCACGATACCCTCCCTCACCACTTCAATTCATCAGCTTTGCCGAACAGTAGTGCTCTAGCCAGATACTATCAAATATACTTTCTAAATAAAGACCCAACAATTTCTGTGCACCTGATAAAAGCAAACAAGCAGCTTCTCTGACCCCAGAATCCACTTAAAGGACAGCGGTAAATTACACACATCATAGTTAACCTGTGGGATTCATTGAGACCAGAGGAGTCAAAAAAGAATGAGATCTCTACATGCATAACAACATCTAGAGTTACATTAGAGAGGATAAAAACAATTTATAGGGGATTGAAAAACTCTTCAATATTTCATGGCATAAATTAACTTAGAACCAACTGGAGAAATTTCTTCCTGATCTTCATGGCTTATTCCACATAAATGTTCATTACAGGGTCATTTTATTTCATGTGCAACTTCAAGCATCTGTCAGTGGCCACAGGACAGTGTTAGTGATCGGACAGGTGAAGGGACTGGTGACCTCTGATGGAACTTGCTATGGCAGTTCCCATAATCTCCCCACTGTCCCTGCCCCCCAAAAAGGTTTTGTCTTCATCATGCAGCAGTTGACAGCACAGGCTTCTAGAACCAAGCAAGACACTGTATATGCTCTGGGCATCACTCTCTTGCTGGAGCGGCTGGCTTTAAAAGTCAAAGCAGCATCAGGTGTGTGTGGGGGGGGAACTCTTAAGTCAGAGATTCCAATGTCGGTAATATCAAATCAGCTCTTGCTATTTTCTAGATCAACGAATTCAGCAACAATTCAGCAGCTGCAAGGAACAATGCCTTGGCTATCAGGGATGATTCCCCTGCTTGCGTATGCATGCTTGCGCTGGCTCACACTTAGATGAGGATCGGCATAAATAGCTGTGCCGCTGAAGCAGCATAGGTAGCATGCAGTGCGAGTGTGTATACGAGTAGGGAAGGACACCTCTGGCATGTAGTGTAGTTGTAGAATGTATGCTGGACTTCCAGAAGAAGCTAAACAAAAAATTGTGTCCTCTGTGTTCCGTGCGATTTCTGAGGTCTGTTTGGAAGTTTATTTGGGAAGAGTGGGGGGGTTGTCCTGCTATCATTGGGTCAACGTTTCCAAGACTCCGCTGGGCTCTGCAGGCTAGTTCATTTGACCACTATCCTCTCACCCCCAAGTGGCAACACTTTAGTGGCAGAGTCCGTGTAACTGTCTCCTACAGGCACTACTACAGCCACTCTCCGAGTTACGAACAAGTTACGGACACTTGGTCCGTAACTCGAACTGTTCGTAACTCAGACCCCACAGTTACACGCAACCGCGCTGTTCGTAAGCGCAGGTCGCGTTCGTAACTCAGGGACCGCCTTTACAACCGCTCCATGGGAGCTTTGGTCGTAAGTGCGAATGGCTGTAACTCGACTGTTCGCAACTCGGGGAGTGGCTGTACACTGAACGCAAGATCTGTTAATTAGGGAGCAGAAATCAAGCCTTGATGAGCAAGAATTGTTTAAAACCTTTTCAAAGGCCTTCACTAGTCATTTGACAATCATGCATGTACCCTGGGAGCGAATGAGGGTCTGATAGCTCTGAAAGGGAAAGGGAGCTTAGGGCACTTTCAAACAGCCTTTAAAAGAAAATCTAATGAGCACATGTGAGAAGCAGCCTCCCTTTTTCCCCAAGGATTTAATACCCACCAGGCGAGATTTCACTCTCTTAGGAAGCTCTTCCTCCAACGTGTAAATATCACCACGTTTTACCATCAACTGAGAGCCATCTTCAAACTCCACCTGTAGAGGGCACAGTAGTGATCATGTGAATTGGCTCCTCTATTTCTAGTAAGTCAACATCCCCAAGCTAACAATTCTCTCCTCACCTCACCTCCTTGGACCTGAAGTGTCCCAGGATTTTCTGAGGGACACAGAAAACACTGTGGGAATCAGTGTTCCTCTAATTTTCTCCCCACCCCGAGCAGAATGAATTTTGTTATCTGCATCAATATGAAAGTCACACGTGACGAGTCACCTTCATATTGCTATGCATCACAGTATTAATGTGGTGGGGGTGCAGCCAAGGGATTCATAGTGCGGGAGGATGCTCAAACCTGGAGCAGAGGGTTGGAGGCAAGGTTGAGAGGGCTCTGGCTGGGGGTACAGGCTCTGGAGTGCGGCCAGGCATGAGGAGCTCAGGGCTGGAACAGAACATTGCAAGGCTGTGAGGGCTCCAGCTGGAGGTACGGGGTTTAGAGTGAGGCTGACCATGAGGGACTCAGGGTTGGTGCAGAAGGTTGGTGTGCAGGGGTATGAGGACTCTGGCTGGGAACACAGGCTATGGAGCAGGGCCAGGTTGAGGTGGGGGCTGCAGGGCTACTGCAGGGAGAGAGGACTCCTCCAGCTCTCTCTCCTTGCAGCAGCACCTGGGTGTAGGGGAACACCCAGGGGCTGGATGGGGTGCCAGGCCTCCAGACCCATGGCCAGATGGGGAACAGGAATGAGGCTGGATGGGGACCAGTGGTGGGCCACTGTGGCCAGATGGGGGATGAGGCTAGATGGGAGACCAGGCCGGAGGGCCACAGCCAGGCGGACACCAAGCTACCAGGTTCTGTTGCAGGATCAGGGCTGGGACCAAGCTGCGACAGCCAGATGAGGGGCCAGCAGGCCTGGATCAGGGATGCCATGGGCGGATGGGGGCCTGGATTGGGGCCACTGCAGCTAGACAGCAGGCCACAGCCAGAGGAGGCTGGGGCTGGATCCAGGCCACTGCAGCCAGATGGGGCAAAGCCTGAATAGAGGTCCTGCAGCAAGACAGCTGCATGGGTGCGGCTCCCCCACTGCGGCAGGAGCCAGGTGAGGGCCACATGGCCTGTGGCAGGGTCCTGGCTGGAACCCAGTGGCCCCGGCTGCTTGGAGGGCAGGCCAGTTGGGAGCTAGGGGAGGGGCAGCCCTTCCCCTGCTGCCGCAGGTCTTCAGGTACAGCTTCATGGAGCACCTGAAGCAGGCAGCTGCTCAGCAGCACAGCTTACAGGGAACTTAGGGGGGAACTATGAAGAACCCCCCCCCCACTGTCATAGCATGGATTTACAGTCAATAGTACACGGGACTGTTGATTAATCGCCATTAACTCACGTGATTAACTCAAAAAAACAATCACGATTAATCGTATTGTTGAGCAATAGAATACCAATTAACATTTATTCTAATAAAATAGCATTTAAATATTCTTTGAAGAATAGCAGTGCAGTGAGGCTGAGCCAGTCTTTCTGCCTGCCCTTGTCCCATGCTGCTCCTGGAAGGCACCAACACACCACTGTGTCAGCACCTTTCTGTCAGCACCGCTCCCTCAGTTCCCATTGGCCACAGCTCCCCGTTTATGGCTAATGGGAGCTGTGGGAGCCAGTGCTTGTAGGCAAGAGCAGTGTGCCGAGACTCCTGCCTCCCCACGCTCCCTCTATATACACATATTTACTCCCGCCCCTCCGCCCCCTCCCCCGGCAGCCACCATCCACCACCAGAAACAGCGGTCGCCTGGGAGAGGAGGCCCCTCATGGACCAGCAGTTCACCATCGACCAGTTGGTGTTCACTGTTTTAGAGCCTACAAGTCCACTCAGTCCTGCTTCTTGTCTGTGTTAGCAATTGACTGAACAAGCCTGGTTACCATTTGAAGGAGATAATGCAACCCACTTCTTGTTTACAATGTCCCCTGAAAGTGAGACTAGGTTTTCGCACGGCACTTTTGTTGCAATGTATTTGTGTGTCAGATGTATGCCCCTTCAGTCTTTGGCCACCATTCCAGGGAACATGCTCCTATGCTGATGATGCTAATTAAAAAAAATAATGTATTAATTAAATTTATGACTCAACTCCTTGGGATAGAATTGTAGGTCTCCTGTTCTGTTTTACCCGCATACTGCCATGTATTTCATGTTATAGCAGTTTTGAATGATGGCCCAGCACCTGTTTAAGAACACTTTCACAGCAGATTTGACAAAAGGCTAAGGCAGCACCAATGTGAGATTTGTAAAAATAGCTACAGTGCTCCATCTAAGGTTTAAGAATCCGAAGCACCATCCAAAACCTGGGAGGGATGAGGTGTGGAGCATGCTCCCAGAAGCCTTAAAAAAACAACACTCCAATGCAGAAACTACACAACCCGAACCACCAAAAGAGAAAATCAACCTTCAGCTGGTGGTATCTGATTTGAATGATGAAAATGAACAAGTGTCGGTCAGCATGGATGTATGCCCTCTGGAATAGTGGCTGAAGCACAGAGACGTATGACTCATTTACATGCCAGATGTGCAAAAAATCCTGCAACACCAGCTACAACAGTGCCATGCAAACAACTTTTCTCACTTTCAGGTGACACTGTAAACAAGAAACGAGATGCACTGGCTCACGCAAACTGTAACCAAAACTTTGAGCAACTGGCTGAACAAGGAGGAGGACTTAGTGTAAAACTTTAGAAGGTAAATTCCACTGTTTTATGTTTGAATTCAGTTACAAATGTAAAACTACATACAAAAGGTCAGTCTGAAATTTCATGATAAACAGATTGCACTACGTTACTTGTAATGGGAGAACTGAAAAATACTATTTCTTTTGATTTTTAGAATGAAAATATTTGTAATCAAATAAATAGAGAGAGAGTACTAGGCTGTATTCTGTGTTGTAACTGAAGTCGATACATATTAAAAAAATTAAATAAATGGTATTCTATTATTGTTTAAGAGAGAAACTAATTTTTTTAATCATGCGATTAATAATCACAGTTAATTCTTTTAACCACTCGACAGCCCTACTAAGCCTTTTTCCTTTTCAAGGTAAGATATTTTTTCAGGCAAGTCAAAATAAAACAATTCCAGATACCAAAATTCATTTATGTTTTAACAAGAAACAATAATCAGTCAGGTGTAAAAAATGGTGGTGTTAACGCCTCATTTCAAACCTCTTTCACTGAGCACTGATTACATCATGAATTATGCAACAGGAGATGTTACAGGGATGTTTATTCATGAAAATGAGCATATGAAATTTTAAACTATAAAATAAATCTTAGAGCCTTTTGCTTGCTTTGCTGAAGGCTTACTGTAGACTCCTGAATATTGCAGGGGAAACGCAATCTGGTTTAAGAGAAAGGTAGGGTCTGGTTTAAACTGGGGAAATTCAGAGGGACGAAAGAATCTACGGGCAGGTCTATACTACGGCTTACGTTGACATATCGTCTGGTGCTCAGGGATGTGAAAAAGCCACACAAATCCCAAGTAACGCAAGTTACACCGACCTACAGTGTAACCTACGTACTGCGTTGACAGGACAGTCTCTCCACCTCTCACATAAGTGAAATAATTATGCCGACAGGAGAGCTCTCTCCTGCCAGCACAGAGCATTTTTGCCACAGGCGCTATAGCTGCATTGGTGCAGCTAGACTGATGTAGGACTTCTAGTGTAGACCAGCTTTATGTTTTGAACATGCCCCTCCTGCTGTGCTCACCAATTAGGCAAGATCAGCACTTCTTACTGTAGTCTGAGAACCATCCATCAGCTGTAACATGTGCACTAGGGAATGAGCTATGGGTACTTTAATTCTCCATTCTAAATACACACATAAATGAGGTTTAAAGGCAAACCTCTGGAGTCAAATTTTCAAAAAATATGCACCCAAACTAAATGTGCAAAACATGGAACAAGTTTGAATTGCAAAATGCACATGCACCTGAACATTTTACTCTCGTTTGGTGGTGGCAACATAGATGCTTCTTTTAAAAGCTTTTAATGCTATTCTAAACAATATGTGAATTTCTTATATTGTGGCTAAATCAGAAAGTAAAGAAAGAACAGATTTTCAATGCAACTGTACAAAAGTTAAAAATGTTAAGTTTGACTACTGTCTTTTCTTTGGAGCATCATACTAAGGAGATCTTTGGGATAAATAAGACTGTGGATTATGATGCTCTTCTGTTTGCATATCAAGACCTTGAACAATTCTTGTGAAAAGACTAGAGTAAACAGTACAGTAAGTCCCTCCTAAACCAGAGACCTAGGAAATTTCCCCCACTATACTTTTCAGGATTGCTCAGGAACACCAATCTACACTGCACGAAATAGTTCTTTGTAAGTTTCACTGTGTTTGGATAAATTGAGATGTGCAAAAAGCACTTGAAATCTCCCAGAATCCTGGTAATTTTGAAACTTCTTGTGGACCATTTAACTGTCAAATGAGAGTGGTGAATTTTGTGGAACCTCATGTTGAAATGCTGACTCTGTTTCAGGTTTCTTCCTGCTTTACTGGGTATTGTTAGCCTCCTGCAAACAAAAATCCCATGGGGTACAAAACTCAAGACAAAACTCCTTTTCAGTACTCAGCCTTGTGGGCTGCAGAATTGGCTGCTTCTGTTCTCTACTAGAAAAGGAAGGGCCGTGAACATCAAGACTGGAGACTGAAGACTGCTATTTATTCACAGAACAGAAAAAGGACAGACAGCAGCAGGACACTATTCTGTCACATACCTTCCCATGACTCTCTCTAAACCCCTTCTATTCCTGACCTCCACTTTTATTACCAAAGAGGGTTTAATTATCTGAATACCTGCTTGTCAGGAAGTGGAGGTCAAAAAGCCCATGTCACATACGCCACTGAACAGTTGCCAGGCAGTGATCTCAGGTCACTTTTGACCTTGCTCACATCTGAACTGATGTTCTAGTAACCCATTAACAAACAAGCCAATCCCCAGCAGGGACTCCCCCAAAGGATCTGAATGTCACCCCTCCAGTAAGTTCTCTGTATTTAGGCAACTCCTCTCACTCACAAGTGCCACATCATATGAGAAGGCTCTGCCAGGAACACATGCAAAAGGGGCAAGGGAAGGCTTAGATATCCAATTAAAGCATCTTCCAGAGATCAGGGCCTTTGTAGATGAGTGACTTTTCTTTATTATGGTGAAATGTTTATCTTTAAGAGAAAATGATTACCCTGTGCCAGAAATCCTATATTAAATTTAACAAGTTGTATGAGGGTCCACTAACCACCGCCCCTCTTCTCCTATCCACTGAACAGCTACACAGACCAACTCAAGCATCTTTTTTCATCACAGAGGAAGAGCGCAAATGAAAAGAACCTGAGATTTCTAAGAGCAGACAGGTGTAGCCAGAGAGGCATGTGTGTGTACATGGATCCACAATCTGCCACTGAAGACCCTTAGCCTTCTTCATAGACAAAACTGTAGTGCCTATAAGAATACAGGAAATGTTAACTCCAGAAGTCACACTTCACCTTCATGAATACAACACGTCTTCTGCACCTGTGAGGTATAAAGTCTGTGTTAAGGGAGAGGTGCTGTGGCAGGATTTTTAGACTCCCTCCCAATTTACCTGATAAATCTGACTGATCTGAGCTGCAATAAACTTGGCCTTGTAGATGATTCCATCAGTCCACTGCAGCTGAACCAACTCGCCTTCTGGAGGGGGTCCCATCTGAATGCAGTCTCTGCTCTGAAGATAGCACAGTGAACAATATCAGGAAGACCACCAATAGAATGCACTATAACATTGGAGGCTATAACCCAAGAACCCAGAATGTTACCACATCATAAGCAAATTTACATCTGTTCAAAATCTCACAAAGCATATGCAGGTTACAACCAGTTTGTACCAGCTGCTAGGGACAGTGATGTGTAGTTCCATGGAATTCATCCAGTGTTCTCAAACCATCCCAGCTCCCTCCCCCCAGCGATGTATTAACCTCATTGTGCAAGCACTGAGGAAGGGGTGTTAATTGAGTGTTGCACCATATTACATGGCAAGTCAGTGGCAGAACTGGGAATAGAACCCGAGAGTCTTGTCTCTTAGTAGCCTGCTAATCTACTTACTACACTAAAACAAACATACATGTTGCCCAATCGATTTACCCACAACAGAACTGGGGAGCGGAAAATGAGACACTTCAAGAAATGCAATTAGTGTGCAAGACTGAACAATCTCTGTTCTCTTACAGCAGCAACAAATCCTGACAACAGCTTTGGGGCAAGGAACAAAAGAAAGGAAACTAACTAATAATCAGTAATGCCATCATTATAAGGCAGTGGCTCTCAAAGTGTAGTCCATGACTATCTTGCAGGTGGTCCACGGGCTCGGGGTCACCTCCTCCCCCCCACAGCGGGGAGCCTGAGCTGGTGCTCCAGGCTTCTGCGCGTGCACGCACCCCGTGAAGGTTGGTGCACCAGCGCCTGCTTCCCACTGGGGGAGGGGGAGCCTTGTAGGTTGGATCTGGCTCGCAGGAGGAGGAAGTGGCTCCATATGCTGCTGCTGCTACACAGGCTGGGGGAATGGCAGCATAGGAAACACTCACCTGGAGGCTTTCCCCTCTGCTCCCATTGTCCGGAAGCACAACCAATGGGAGTAGCAGGAGGCATGGAGCCAGATAAGCACCCCCTATTTCCTTCATGCCCAGACTCTCCCCCCCACCCCATCCCTATTCCCCCCATGCACCACCCCAGCTCCTGTACACACCCCAACCCGCTCCTGGGCCCAACCTCCCTCCCAGATCCTCCACCCAGCCCACTCCTGCACCTAACTTCTGGCTAGACCCCCCTCACCCTCAGCCAGCTCCTGTACTCAACCTCCTGGCCAGACGCCCATCCCTAGACCACTCCTGCTCCCATTTTGTCATCATAGTTGGTTGGCTAGTGGTCCGTGAAAAGGTCTGCATTGAGCAGTGTAGGCCGTGGGCCAAAAAGTTTGAGAACTACTGATGTAAGGACACACATGAAGAACACTCTATGCATTAGCTATGCAACCAGCAATACTTTTATAACCTACTATAAAAAGATTTCTTATGATATGCTTTGTTGTTCCTTCCCACACAGACTTGCACTAAATAGATTCTACCCGCAGTTACAGAAGAATCTCGAGTTTCTTACAGTAATGCTTTCCGGGTACACATTGTCGCTGTAAGAGCCATCATCAAAGTTCACTTCATAGAAAGTTTGTGTTGTCATGCCAATCACTTTACACCTGTAGTAGAGTCCATTGCGGTTCTTTGTAATCACAGTCTGCCCCAGTGATACTTCCCTCCGAAACTGGACCTAAGGAACCGAGAAAAGGGACCAATCAGGGATCACAAGAGACGTTAAGGAAACTGTACATTGGAAGGATTTTCAATAGAAGACACTTACATTGTGGTTGGCTGCTTTATGTTTGAAGCAAGTGATGGACACAACATATGGCCAATCATCTGGCTCCATGGGTACCCCTGCGGCATGTGCACAGGTCACATGGAAGGAAGTGGAGCAGTGCTCATAGGAGCATTGAATGCAGGCACCGGAAACCTTCTTCATCCGCTTCCGGCAGTACACACATTTCTAAGGTGAAACAAGAGTTCACATTATGCAGTGGAGACAAAAGTCAGCAGCAGAGTTAATCAACATTTTTGAGGCTGGACAGTGTGAGATATCCAGTTATGAGACGTGGTACAAAACTCCTTCTTGTCAACATTTACATTAAAACAGAGCTCAGATGTCAACTAGGATCGAGGACGTTTCCTGCCCGGCACTGCAGACACAGGGGCTGTCAAATTTATGGATGTAAAATCCTATTTAAAAAATTAACTGGGTCTGCCGGGGGCCCCTGTCTGCGGTGCAGCGAGCCTGGCCGGACTGGAGCAGTCCCCTGTGCTGCAAGCTGGGGGCATAGCCAGCCCAGCTGGTCCCAATGCACAACAGGCTGCTCCAGTCAGTCAGGGGCTTCTTAGGCCAGGCCAGACCATAGGCAGAGGAGCTCTGGTTGGCTGGGTTGCTAGTTAACCACTTACCAGGTAAGCATCACCCTTTACATCCCTAGGCAAATTCCTTTCCATCTCTCTGCTCAACCGTATGCACTCATTTAGAACCTATCCCCAGCCAAAATTCAGCCACCCTAAATATAGCCAACACACAGAATTATGGTTCACCTGAACAGCAACAAAATTACATTTTAATCTTTCAAGAAGCTATCAATGACACACTCCATCAGACACATACTGGTCAATGAGATCCCCACAAAACCAATTTGGGATAATGTTCTCTGGAGTGTAATGTATCGGTATTACTTAAAAGCATTACGGAAAAACTTTTACTTCCATTATATACCCATTCTCCGGAGATTTTTAAATGTACCCGTTTAATTCATATCATAGCTGTCACTTCGCAAACAAGTTGCTAGAAGAGACAGTATTTTCAACTTTGGACACAATATAACACAACAGAACAGTTTAACATCTTATTTTTAAATAGGCCCTTTTTACTATTATAAACACACACACAATGCATGATGGCATTTATGTAGGATAAACTGAAGTATGCAACTCTCTCACTGCTTTGTCACTCCTGAGTAACTAAAACCTTCACACTACAACATGTATTTTCAATATGCCACAGATGTTAAAAACAGGTTTGAGAATGCTTTGAAATCATGTTCTCTGCCCCCATTTGGGTTATTTCTTGTATTCCTCTCTGTAAAGCCACCTGCTGTGGTTACTATGAGACCAATTATCCAGGGATTAGAAAGAAAGGAAAGCAAGTAATAAATGTAAAGACTTGTCTACATATGGAGTTACTCCAAAATAGATCTTCAGGAATAACACTTGTGGTGTGGACACATTTATTCCAGAATAAATGTGACATGTTCACTCAATCCTCTTTGCAAGCAAATTAAACTAAACTGGGACAAGGAACTCTTATTCTGGAATGAAAATATTACGCACTGGCTGGCGGCAATGCTTTAACCTATTATTTACTATTCTTTTGCCAAAATAAGAATGTCCACAGATGAAATTATTCTATAGTAAGTACTGCATTATAAATTCACACCGACCTTAATCTAAACTAACTTTGTAGAGCAGACAAGCTTTAAGACACCTTTGAAATGGATCTGAAACTGTCTTTCTAAACAAACATGTCCTTGTTTTAAAAGTCCAGAATCTCATGATACTGCAGAGCTGGCAGTGAGCCCTGCATGCCTGGGAAGATGAGAATCAACCCTCTCTCCAACGGTATCAAACACCCATTTCCAGCCCTGCAGGAATGTGGAATATCAGACTTTTAGGCTGGGATTTCCAAAGGAGCCTCATGGAGTTAGGAATTCACTGACTTCCATGGGGAATGGGCTTTTCTAACCTGTATAAATCTCACCCTTAGTTCATAACATGTTTATGTCTAGAAAAGCTGTCACTGATGGTGGGTGGAATCTTGCCCTCTACAAGATCCTGCAAACTGGGATAACTTGAGGAAGAGATAATTCCACTGTCGGGAGTGGGTGAGGTTGTCCTTTAAACAGCTGGCCGTCATTTTCAACTGTTCATACAAATGGAATCTTGAGAAGATGGATTCATGGGCAAGTGATGAGGACAGAGGTATGGGATGAATATTTATCATACAGAAATCATTTCCCCATATCTTGTAGATGGGAATAGGGATAGGCAGTAGATTTGTAGTCACCTAAATATTGGTACTATTCTCTGGAAGAAATCCCTGCATTGGGCTTCCCTCTCCCCTCATCTGAACAGCAGTGTCCCCTTTCTCTTCACAGAAATAAGCACCTTCCTTCCCCACCTCAGCTGTAGCAGGTGCTATAATAAAGACTATTCCTGCCCCAAAGAGGGACAGATATTTCCTTTCCCCACCATAAATGCAGAAAGAAAGAAAGGAAACCACACTATGTTCCTGCCACACTCTGCCATGTCCAGATAGCTCAGAAACACTTCTCTACATGGATGCAACAAGCTAAGATAATTTCTCATGTAAGAATCAGTGCATAGAGGGATGCATTTGTCCCTGTGCTTTCACTCTGAATGTCCTAGCTTTTGTGAGTCCAAGTCAGGCCCTCTGCATTGCTTGAATGTAGTTTTTTGTATTTAATAACTTACGCCTTATCGCTCTGTAAGCCATGTTCAAAAGCTAGATAAGCACCATAGCAAAGTGCACAGCAGGAACACAGCACTGAGAGCAAGTCAATAGCAATGAGATCTCATTATTAAACTGTCAATACCTAATTCCCTCCCTAGCAGGGACAAGCACTGATATACACAGTGCTCAATATAGCCTCTCAAGGGAGTATTAACCCTTGAGTACAGAGAGTCTGGTTTTATTGCTGTAAAGCCTGCTTCCAAGCCTGAGGGTTTCACACACATCTAATGGCATCCCAATCGCAGAGACACTCTGAGAGAAGAGGCATCCCAAAAGGAACAATAAGACAGATCAATTATGATCAGAGGACAACAGAAAATTTCATTTACCTTGAGATGTGGACTATGGTGGAAACAGAGCATAAGTGGAAGACCTGGAGGTGTGGGGCATGTGACTCACAGCCCTGTAAGTCCAGAGTGTTGTGGGGAAGATGCGCCGACAGATATGAATTAGTGGCGAGTAGGTAGGAAGAAAAAGAATGTCTAGGGTATTGGAGAAAAACACGCTGAATAAATGCATAGAGAAAAAAAAATCAGATCATAGCTGAGTGTAAGGAATGGGCTGTCTACAGCATGATGAACACTACAATTCATTTACTCCAGTGAGAGATGACAGCTAATTATTCTGAATTTCCACGTCATAAATAATTTACACACACACAGGCCTGTAATACACCATTAATCAGAAGCCATGCAAACTGCATTCTTTATAACGATGCAGCATGCTCAAATGAACGGAGATGTCTATGCTTCCAAGGGGAGCCACTGTCTTTGCGCATTTTCAGATCAACTGGACACTGTTTTCAACAAGTTACGCCAGGCCCTCACCCTGCACCTACAGAAAATGCTGCCCCTCTCCCTGTTGCTAAGGAAGAGAGACGTGAACAGAAACAAAATGCACTTGGATCCGCAGGAGCAGCATCTCCTGCCACCTCCCTTTACTCTAGTTCATTTTCTTCAGCTACGTATGGCCTTCCTCTTTTATCATCCTCTTCTCATCTCCCGTTTGTTCATCTCAGCTCCACACACTCGCCTCAACTCCACCACTGGAATTTTCAGCCTTACCTCCTCGGCTGCTCACTTTGATTCCAGCTCCCTTCCCCATGGTCACCATGAGCCTCATCACATACAGGACACCTCTACCTCCTTTTAACACACAAAGAAAGGTGACCTTAACCATTGTCCTCCTCAGCTCCAAACAACTCCACTGGTTCCCCCACTTGCATCATGACGCACTTGCCAAAAGCCTCAATGGACTTGCTCCATGGTACCTCACAAACCATGTTTCTCTGTGTACTCCCCTATGCTCATTTACCTCAAAATTCCTCTGTGCCATTTCATAGAATTTTACCATGGCTGCTAGTTCAAGAGCCTTCTCCTTTACACCCTACCATCCAGAACAAGCCTCCTTTTATCTCTGAGTTACTGACGCTACGTTTCATTTCAAATTGCAGCTCAAAACGAAGTGTATCTTCCTTTAGTTACGATGCCCATGAAAGTAAAGCTGTATTAAATATAGTAACACTTTTACCCATTATTGTTTCCAACACGAATATGTGCGTATATATTACAAAGGCACCCATAAGCGGATAACCAAACAAGGCTGTTAGCACGCAGACGTTTGGGTAATGTGGGGTAAAGGGGCTAACAGTCAATCTACTTCCTACATTCTAAAACTAGTCCTGACTGCAGGAGCACCAGAAACCTTGTACAAGAGCCACACTGGCATCTTGCCAGAAGCTTCAGAGCTGCATTTGTGTCCAAGCAGACATGTGAGCTCTTCCATGTTGCCTGCTAGCAGAGCAATGGCTGATCTCGGCATAAACGGCACACAATTACAACACTGAGATTCTAGCAAATGATGGGAAAAGCTGCTGTGATGAAGATGGAGCAGTGCATAGTGGGATACACAGACTAACCTTTTCAAAATCAAGCACCTCATGCTAGTTTTTTCAGAGGGCTCAGCCTTGGCAGCTATTACTGGTTTCCAATGGGAGCAGTGGGTGTTTAAAAAATGGACAGCTAAATAAGTGTTCTGATTTCCAATCTGAGGTAACCAAATGCAAAAATTCTCTCTCTCATAAGTACAGACATACTGGATCAGACCAAAGGTCCATCTAACCCAGTATCCTGTCTGCCAGCAGTGACCAGTGCCAGGAGCCCCAGAGGGAATGAACAGAACAGGTAACACCAAGTGATTCATCCCTCTGTTACCAGGGCTCGCCGAACCGCGGTAAGCCCCGCTTGTCAGCCGCGCTGTTCGGCAATCTGCGCATGCGCAGATTGCCCGAACCCGGCTCTTCCGGGTTGCAATCTACTCGCCCCAGGCGAGTAGATTGTATTATTTGTTGAGCCCTGCCTGTTACTCATTCCTACCCATCCGGGCTAATAGACACTGATGGACCTATCCTCCATAAATTTATCCAGTTCTTTTTGAACCCTGTTAAAGTCCTGACCTTCACAACATCCTCTGGCAGGGAGTTCCGCAGGTTGACTGTTGCTAGAGGATGCTGGAAACCATAGGGGAAATTTTTCACTCCATGCCCTTTTGGATATTTATTCATGGAATAAAAGCATCTACTCTTCAGCGAGACTGTCTGTTCAAGACTGAAACAGCAGGAGTTGCTTTAACAGATTGAGGGGGGTGGGGTGGGGAGGGGACCAGGCTGAGAATAGTAGGGAGAGCTTCAAGTGGAGCAGAGCTGTATATGGGAAGTTCACAGTTGCTGCTCATACTCTACTTAGCTTTAGACCATACTATCAGTCACTTGCTCTTAGTCCCAACACCGTCTTTCGCTCGTCCAGCGGTGCCCAAGTAATTTAGCAAATCTGGCAAACCTTAGCCAAGATCTCAAACCCTGTAATGTCTTAGGCAGAAAACTCAACGCTCTTTCCCCCCACTTGCTCATACAATGTCAAGAGCATAAGTGAGCCCTTGTACAGACACCTCTGAAAATCTGGTCTCTCACAGAATTCTTTACATCATGGCATGAAAGAAAAAGACAGGTGACATGGTTACAAGGGCAAAGGTATGTTTGGGCTGACCTGTGTATAAAGCAGAGTTGGCTTGGATGCCAGATGAAGGAAGGATGCTATTTTAGTATTCTGTCATCCTGAATATTACTTCCTGTGCCCTACATACCAAAACCCACCAGCTTATCCAAGAAATCCCCACACTCTCCATCTGTCAAAGTCAAGCTCATTTCACAGCTAGGAAGATAGTATTTCTCTTCCTACCAAATGCTGAGGCAGCTGAGTCCAGCTGTGCCTAAGTGGGACCCTCAACGCAGTTAAGCTAGTACAAAGAGTGCTATTCTTAAAATGTTCACTGCAGCTAAAAGAGGAACATAGAATTTTACCAGGATACTGGATTGGATTATTGATCCATGCAGGGTACCATGTACAGTGCAGGAGGTGTAGCTCAAAGGCCAAAATCAGATCATGGGCCAAAGGGCTAAGTGTTATTCAAATAAACGCCTCAGGTGAAAGCTTATTAAATCCATGATGCACTCTATGACACTTGTAAAATACTGCACAGTGGTCAGAAATCCATGGAAACATGTTACTTCAAGCATCACACCAAAGGCTTCCATTGTTCACCTTCACTTTCCTGCCTCCAGAATTTGTGGGCTCCTCTCTCACATCCTCAATACATGTGCCCTCTTCCTCTAATTATCTTCTCCCTGTACAGTCTTCCCTTTAATCCCGGAGTCCTACCACACACAAGCAGGCTGGAGTTCATGATGACAAAGTGAAGCATCATAGCTCCACTGATGGATGCTGCTCAGCTGCAGGGCAGTCAGGCAGGAGTTAACAGGTTTCCTTGTGAGGCCCCATTAAGCAATACAAGCGACTTCTGTGTAAAAGGATTTTTAATTCATCGTTACAAGTGGTGGTAATGAAGAGGATGCACGCTGGAAATGTCAGACGATCCATAAAGAGTGGTGCTTCAAGATTTATCACTCTCGCATCACACTGCTCCATCACGCAACCTGAATAATGAATGCTTTTTACATTCACATTTGTGTACAAAACCCATTTGCACAACAGAGGAAGAGCTCTAGGAGCATACACAGAGTTTTCCTAACCTTTCATCGAGGGGCTGCCTGGGCTGCCTATTTTACATAGCTACGCAGTTAACGAATACATTCGTACTAACTACCGAATACATCAGTGCTAATGACATCTTCCCCCACCATGTCCCCCTCTTGCTGTCCAAAACTGACTCCCACACAAACGGAAAACAAAAGGCACAATTTATCTACCAAACGCACCCATAGCAGTGGGGTATTCAGAACCAGCTGGGAAAACACAGCACCCTCGGCAAAGCCAAGACTCATTTACTCCATCTAATCATTAATCACCTATTAGTAATTCCCTGTGATGAAGCAAGTGCACCCTCCACAGAAAGGAACTCAGTTACATGCCAGTAACTGGAATTCTACCGATTCATCCTCTCCAGGTTTCCTCCTTCCTGAGATAACCACAAGGGGGCATTTGTAAATCTCTGCACAGAGGATGGAGATAGGAAATATTTCCTGATGGAGAAAGTGAAGCCTTTTAAAGGAAAACAGACCCAGTCAGACACATCTAAATGGCCCTGCTTCCTGAGACATTTCTTGTAATAAACAGGAGAACATCTTTTAGCCCCTGCAGCCTGAGGCTTCTACACAGATCATTGCTGTTCTTCTCATTAGTGTGCCAAAACCCTGCTAACACTCAAGCAATCCCCAGGAAGTACCTACCAGTTTCCACCTTTGCTCTGGAATAGAACTGATGTCCACAGGATGGCGCTCTATTACATTGAGGAAGCGGGCTTCTGGGACAGCAATAGCACAGATTATATGAATCCACCTGGAAAGCACAGAAATTAGAAGCTGCCATATTTTTAAAAAATATACGCTACATTTATGGGCTGTATAAACTCTAGAGGGCTGTTAACATTTCTTCTGGTTTCTCTTCTACAGTATCTGGACACATTTAGGATAGTTGGCAACACTGGTACTATTAGCATCTGGTTATTAATCACACGCTGCACTAGATAAAGGTCTCTGGAACAATGGGGATCCACTTTCTTCAACAGGGACCCATTCCTGCATGGTGCTGAGCACTGTCTCAGAGGTGTGGCCTTTGAAGTCAATGACACTAATGGTGTTCGGGGCCACACAGAGAATCAGACTCTTAAGAGCACAGAAAGAGGACAGGGTCAGCCCAGACTTCCACGTTCACCCATCCCTTCTAGATAGCAGAAAGGATGCATGCGAGGCAAAATTACACTTCCCACATTGGAGCACCATGACCTGTGCTCACATCATCAACAAAATTACTTGCATTCGTGCTTGGACAAGACTGCTAGTATATGTGCAATGAAGTATAGCTGCAGCTGTGCTAGTCCCAGGATATTAGACACACAAGGTAGGGGAGGTAATATATTTTATTGGGTCAATAAATCTTTTATATATTCTGTTGGTGAGAGATCTTTCCAAAGAAGTCAGTTCAATAAAAGACAGTACCTTGTGTCTCTAGTACACATGCAAGACATTTTAAATGCTACCTACCTTCCATCAGTGGTCATCTGAAGAGCTCCTCCCCTGAGATTACAAAGGCAGCAGTCCTACAGTTTAAAAAAGAGAGTCATAAAGCTTAACCGAAAAGGCTACCCAGACGATCCCAAATCGAATCTCCCCAGGTATTTATTAAGTTAGGGCAACAGCATGCTGGGAAAGATTTTCCGTTTCCCTGCCTCCCCCCGTGTGGAAGCATCCAGGTAGTTCTCCCCAAAACCTTCTCTTTCAAGTCTCCACTGCTGTGGATGCTTACCGCTGCCCACGCACTGGCTGAGCACCGTGAACAAGACCAGCCTTCATTCACTAGATCAGGGCGTATTCCATAGCAACCTGAAAGAAACCAAAGTATCCTCACACTCTTGGCAACACATACATGAAGCCCATTGCTGACAGTTCAGGTTAAATCCACCACGGAAATTAGACACAGAATTTGGAATCAACAGATTCAAAATCCAAAGGACAATACAAAACTCAGAAGAAAGAGTCATCTTTGAGTAGGACTGAAGTCACAGGAGAACAGGAAACCCGACTCCCCCTTAGGGCAAGAGGTTAGGAGGAGATGTCTGGCACAACATTCAAGAGACTTGTCGCAGCAGGTCTGGCCTTACTGAATGCTAAATGGACACATGAAAAGAGGTAAGACTTATCAGCTGATTTTAGCCCAGCTGGTGCAGCCACCTTTGCAGAGAGGTCAAGAAGGATCTTACTAGAAGAGGAAAGGTAAATAAAGTAATCAAACAGTGCTGAATTAAATGCTCCATGTGCTTACTGTTGCACATCACACAGGAAGTCTCTCCTGGAACAGGTAATTGAAGTTGGATTTCATGAACCCCAAGAAGCCAGTGAGCCATCCTTCCTTCCAAGCACCGCAGGAGAAATTTTCAGCTTACCACACTAACAGCTGGAAATTGAGGTGCTGCTATCTCAGCCGAACAGGCAAAACTAAAGTTTTACCCAATTTATTAACAGCTGCCTGGGAGGTCAACACAACACCTCTGCAACGAGCAATTATATAATGCAGACAATTTTAGTAAAGAGTCCATAATATAAACCCATGATTGCCTCCCGCATAGGAGGCACCTTTCCATCATGTGACAGGTCATGAGAGTGGATCCGGTCCAGAACAGGCAAAAGAAGCTGGGTGATGCAGTCTGAAAAACCGATTAGGAAATTGGTTTGAAACAGACATTCACATTCGCAAGTCAAATGTCTGTGGAGCCCAAACCTGTGTGGAAGAGATTGAAATTTCAGCCTTGATTTCTTGTTTCAAGACCACCAATCAGGGACCTTTGGACCGAAAGGGGAAATGAGATACAGACACACAAACTAAAGAATGAAAAAAAAATGCAAGAAGCCCAAAGGAGAAACTACATGAGAAACATTTGATATTTAAATTTGTTTTCAGAAAATAAAAGGAATCTTGCTTATTAAGATATAGGGTGCTGCTCAGACTAAATTTTGAGCTGAGTAGTACTATCTGTTCTTCAGGAGCCAAGGTGCTATTGAATATCGCTAGGAAGCAAAATCTCGTCCTTCTAAATAGGAGGCTTTTAGTTCCCAGAGATAGCTGTACAAGGGAGAGGGGAAGAAGCGTGTTCTGAGGGGAGCTAGGGACTTAATGAAGCACTGAATCTATAGTTAAATGCAACAAGGGCAGCAAATAAGCAAAGTAACTATTCTTTCCCGTCACTAGATAGTGGTAGCACCTCAAACACCTAGAAATCTTGGCAGAGGTTTCCTTGTGTCCTTCCCCCTGTCACAACCAGGTAAGACTCCTCCAAATTGGAGGTCTGCTGAGCAATTTTACAGCACCCAGCCAGACCAGCGGCAAAAGCCCCGAGGTAGTAGCTTTATTCTACAAAGTGAGCTAGCTAGTCTCACCACACCAAAATAAAATGTTTAATGGAATTTGCAAGTGCAAGCTGACAGTGATGAGGAGACAGGAAGGTTCCTAGAGTGAAGCAGCTAAACCCAAGCCTCACAGCTAAAGCTGATTAGCAGAATGCACCAGGCTCTGTCTGTGACTGCAGATTAACTTTGCTTTATTCATATACATGCCTCTCCAAATCAGAATTTGGTTTGCTGAGAATGGTTTGGAATGCCTTTATTCCATACATGTGTACATTTTCAGTAGAAAAAGACTCAGCTCTCCAGTAATGACTATTTCCAAGATGAGAAAGCCACTCTATCATTGGTGCACTCAACCTATGTCAACGTACTACCCACCAGGAGCCACAAGTGACTGGCTCGTGGATGCAAGAGAAGTTCATCCTTTATTCTAATTTCAATTCCCTACAAGAGACATTTGTGCTCAACATTTCTGTCTATAAAGCTGAGTCCATAAAAGCAATTTTTGCTGATACAAGTCAAATAATTCTTTCCGTCTGTCAAGTCAAACAGCAGAACAGTAATCTACCACCTCTTAATACTAACGCAAACCATAACTAGATGCCGTAGGATCTACAATACTCCTGACGCAGGCCAGCACCTTCAACCAGCTGCCACCAGAAATCTTCTCTTGGGCATAATAAATCAAAGAAATGTGTAATGATCTGCTGTATTGTTGTAGCTGTGCTAGTCCCAGGATATCAGTGAGAATATGGATGAGGTAATATCTTTTATCAAAGCAACTTCTGTTGGTGAAAGAGACAAGCTTACAAGCTACACTGTGTAGGAGAAAGAAAGAGCCTGAAGCATGGACCTGGTGCTTGAACCAAAGTAAGCAGGAGGTGTACTTTGAGTAACAGACAGGCCTTGTGGAAAGCAGATGTTTGCCTGCAAGTCAGTGTCTCAGCACTAGAAGTGCTAGCACTGCTAAAAGCACATGAAGTATGTAAATACAGTCCACCAGGACAGCACAGGGACACCCAGCTGAGTATGTGATAAAATAGTCTGAAATAATAAGAGTGAAAGCAGAACAATGGGCAGTGAATGCTTTGGAGGAAAGTACAAGGGGAGGTACCAAACATGTCATTAGTGCGTAAGAGGATACGTATGGTGTGTATCAGAGTGCTCATTTCTGTAATATAAACATTGGGGTACCTGAACTTCACTCTTTGGCTGGCCTAGGGGGCAATAGTAAAATCCATACGATTGACTGAGCCATGTCCATTGTCAAGGGTACCATTGTCAAGCGTACAAACACATAGGGGCTTGGAGGCCATCTGGCTACTGACGACTATTAATGTACTTCATTCGACTATAAACCTGGCTCTGGTGCCTTCGTATCTTACCTGAGTCTGTGGTCTCTGTGGTCTCAAGAAGTCTATTATGCTAGCTACCTGCACAGAGCTGGCACATATACTGAGGGAACATACAAAAATGCTCGCAGCCACTAATGGAGCACAAGACCTGTCAGAATGCCACACCAGTGAATCCTGAATTTACTACATCACTGTCATGAACTACTAGACGCTGGACTCTTCTTCAGGTCTGTGACCTTTCCAATAAAATAGATTACCTCGCCCACCTTGCATCTCGAAAGAAAGAGATGTGTGCGCCTCGAGTGATAAACCAACACCGTCACCAACAGCAACACAGACTACATGAAAGTAAACTTCAGAAACTACAGTATTCCATAAACCCTTCCTGACTTACATGACTGAGGTGGCACTGCTGTATTTACCTCACTTTCCTATCTCTCAGACTCACTAATGTGGCTTAGCACTTTGGGAATTTATAAGGAAAATGCCTGTATAAGTGGGGGCTACCATCAGGTAGAACTTGATCTTTCCCGTTTCACCCCTTTTATTTTCTTCCCACCCCACCGCAGCCACAGATAATAATTCCAGGGGGAACAGGAAACGAATAGCAAGCAGATGGATAGAAATATCCAAGGATAGTCACAGCCATGACAGCTCTGAGAACACAGTGAAGTGGAACTGAATATGCTATAGGAAGTGGAGAAAGGTTACGTGGCAGGAACTGCCACCGTGCCCAGAAGGCGTGCAAGTGCAGAGAGCACAGGTATAAAGAGGCTTCCAAGTATCTACTGCCCAGACCCGAGCAGGAAGGAGGAACACTTACTAGCATGAACCTGCAGGCAGCACTTGGCGCAGGATATCAGGAGGCTGGTTCCATCTTCTCCAATGTACGAGTTGGAAGGAAGGGGTTCTGTGTTTTCACCACCTGAGGTAAAACACATCTCAGGGATCAGGGGCTTTGTCTTCTGTCCACACTTGGAAAGCTGGAGCAAGGAGGAGCTCTCTCCTATGGAGACCTGGACAGCCTCTTTCTCCATCTGTAAGGACTTAAGTAGGAAAAGGAAACAGTAGCGCACACTCCACTTTGCCCATCTGCCAACTGTTCTAAATGTCAAAGGATTTTTCACAAGGGCAATATTAATCCTCACTAGCTCTCAGTGTCTACAAACATGCAGCAGGCTCTCTTATTTCATCTCCTCGCTCACATGACAGGAATCTTGTTGCTCCCTTCCATTCCACTAGGATGTGGCTTGGGATCTGCCATTGTGTTTGAAAGCTCAGGGAAACATTAGAATAACAGGCAGCATTCACTATTTTTTGTGTTTAACTTTGCCAAAGTAAAATCAAATCCCTAAAAGCTGCAGAAGAACATCATCTCAACAGAATAAGATTTCCTCTCCCCTTTGGCAGCCTCTCCAATGCTTTCAGCAAGTATTTCTCCACAGTGACATGTAAAGTTTTTTGGTAGTAACCCAGAGTTAAAAACAATGGATTAAACAGCCAAGCCGCACCCAAGTCTCCTCACAATACAGCAGCATCATGCAGTCCTGGAGAGATACTTTATTTCCTATCTGCAGAATGAATCAGGGATTTTAAAAAATGCATGCGCCTAGACAGAGCTGTGTCTGGCTCCACGTGCCCTATTTATGCAGGGACATACTGGGGCACTGTTGAGCAAATAACATATCTAACACATTTTGCCTTCCTGCTCCTAAAATATCTGAAAGCAAATTGAAAATTCCTTAAAGCTGATGTTCAAATTCATTGAATGAATCTTATTTTTTTGCTTTTGAAGGTTCAGAAGGCTGGGTGCAGTGCTTAGATGCAAATCGTCATAGGAACAGCTTTGTGTGTTTCTGTTCCCTGATGGGAGGCACATGCCAGGATTACTGGTACAAAGATGTGTGTGATTTTAAATACCAGATTCTAAAATACTATTTTGAAATTTGCGTCCCATGAACACTTTTGCCAACACAACTCAACTGTCTGAACGCTAAGGGAAAGCAACACACACACACTGATGCGAATGGGGCAAAAACACATTTGGACAACAAAAATACTGCAATTATATATTATGGGTTTGGTTGTGCCAGGAAAATGAGATGTGCCTGCAATGGGATTGCATCTCTCAAAACCATACAGAAAAGAGACATTGAAAGAGGCAGGAAAAAGGGGCTGGTTGGGGGCACCCCATCCACCAGCTGGGACTCCCCCAGCCTCCCACCTCCCAGGCGCCCTTTAGGGAGGGCTGATGGACTGAAGGTCCCTCCTTCCTGATTTGTACGGGGACATTGCTGGTTGTTCCCCTTCATCAGGGAGCAAGGGGAAAGTGCACAGTTTGCTGCATTCCTCACTCTGGTTAGGAAGCGCAGGGGGCAGATGAGCTGTGCACATTGCTCTCACTCCCTGACAGGGACAGGAAGGGGAAGAGCAAGCATCCATGGTGCAAATCTTGAGGGGGGACCCTTTGTTCCCCCCCCCCACCGCTTTCCCCACTCACTCCCCTAAATGCACACCCAGAGTCCCCTGCCCAGAGCTCCTCCTCACCTTCCAACCCTAACTCCACACCTCAGCCCTAAGTTCCTCCTTAAGGATCCAAGCAATGCTGGATAAATGCTAGTCATATATATTTTAAAAATTAATTCAGATCTGCTGGGACAACAAGAGGCCCATTATGATTTTTATTCCCAGTGTTTTAAAATGAAGGGGGAAACGGTTCAGTACATCTGTGAAAAGTGGCATCTCGGTGGAACTAAAAGTGAGAAAATAGAAGGCCATCAACCTAGTAATTGGGACACAGGAGTTGGAACAAGCATATTTAAATACATGATAGAAATACTCTCTTCTCTTTGTGATTCTGTTTTCATGCCTATAGGCCGTGTAAGGGTAATTACACATGGTTACATATAACTATATTCATACACAGAATCACAGAACTGAAAACAACCAGAAGAAGTCATCAAGTCCAGTCCCCTGCACTCATGGAAGAACTAAGCATCATCTACCCAGTCCCTGACCGGTGTTTGTCTAACCCGCTCTTAAAAATTTCCAGTTATGGTAGATTCCACAACCTCCATAGGCAGTTTATTCCAATGGTTAACAATCCTAACAGTTGGGATGTTTTTCCTAATGGCCAACCTAAACCTCCCTTGCTGCAATTTAAGTCCATTGCTTCCTGTCCTATCACTAAGAGTTAAGGAGAATAATTTTTCCTCCCTTCTCCTTGTAACAGCCTTTTAGATCACTGAAAACGTACCACTTTTTAAGCTGCCTAAGATGGTTCCCCCAACACCATCACTGCAGGGAGCAGGGGAGGCAGAAGCACAGTGGGGAAATGGCGTGAGTGGGGACTGTTTCAGCCCCCGCTTGCACCAGTTCCCACTGCGGATGTTTCTGCTTTTGAAATGTACAAGAGCCCTGTGGCTCTTCCTACATTTAAAATGCAGAGCCACAGCATGGGTGGCTCCGGAGCCAGCACAAGCCAGGACTACTCAGTCCTGGCTCCTGCTGCGGCTTTGCAGAATGGCATTATTGACTAATTGTATAATCGATATAAACTGTATTAAGTATATGATTAGCCAGATAATCGCATTTTAACTTAGTCCACATCCGGCGAAGCAGCACCTGTCCACAGTGGCCCGGGCTGGCTGCGGACAGAGGCTGCTTCAGCTAGGCAGGCAGCCTGGCTCAGACCCAGCTTGCACTGGATCCAGGGCCTAACTCCAATGTGGCTCTGTAGTTTAAATGTATGAAGAGCCGGGTGAGCAGGCAGCCCGGCTCTTAGTACATTTAAACTGCAGAGCCACACCGGAGGTAGGTCCCAGACCCAGCACGAGACAAGACAGCCGAGCTGCCTTCCTTTATCGACTAATCGAATCATCGATAAAAATTCTATCAATGACTCGATTAGCCAATTAACAACATCCTAACATCCCTATTCTGCACCTTCTTCAATTTTCCACATCCTTTCTGAAATGTGGCGCGTGCGCGCATGTGCACACGCGCGCACACACACGCACCCCCCCCCTCATTACTATGGAACTAACCATGCTAAAAGGATACCAACTAGTACCAATTTGATGCATAAGCAAGTGCAGCAGTACTGTACATATTCATGTTTGCTCCTGTAAATCACTACAGGACCCAAATGTGCCAGTGTGTTGCATCTTATTTTTTCCAATCCCCTTGAAATGTGCAGCTTTGGTGTTTATGCTAGATACAGAGAAGTTATCAGCATTATGTACACAATGCACAGAAGAATTTTCCGTCTTGATAGCTGAGAAGCTTTACAAATTGTGAATGCCTCCCACCCTGTGGTCTGATTAATAATATACATTTGATAGTTGGGGAGCGTTAAATTTGGTTTTCAGTGTTTTGCTTGGCAATGACTGCCTAGAAAATCTGCACCTTAAACTGAAGTTCCTGGAACTTGAAATCCCAACAGCCTCTTATGGCAAGCAAGGAAGCCTGGATGTGCCCAGAAAACCAATATGGGTATTATCTCTGATTTACTCAAATGATCAGAAAATTAAAACAAATTTCACATCACAAAGACATATTACATATGCATATCTCCCTTCTGCTGCCTTCTATAGTGCCTGCAGCGTTACATTAAGCCAAGACTCCAAAGCATTATTTTATAAAACCAAGACCAACACCATTGCTCTTGCTTGCATAAACTGCAGTTACATCTGCCTGCATTAGCCTGGGAAAAGAGAATTGCTATAGTGTAGCATTTCAGTAGCACTGAGGTTGGCCTTTCCTAGGGATGGACAAAACCACAGGGAGAACCTGACATTAGTCAGTCAGTATTTTGTGAATCCACCCTCAAATTCCAAACAACCTGTAGTAAGGGCAGAAGAGTGTAAAACATCCTCTTTCAAGCAGGCAGCATGTCTCAGGGTATGTCTACACTGCAAAACACAAATCACCTGCAGCAGCAAGTCTCAGTACCTGGCTCCTCTGACTCAGGCTCATGCTATGGCGCTAAAAATAGTATTGCAGACATTTTCCCATGGGCTCAGAAACCCAAAGTGCCCAAGAATGAATGTCTCAGAGCCCAAGAATGAATGTCTACACAGTTACTGTTAACCCCACTGTTCAAGTCCCGCAAGTGCAAGTAAGTTGATGCAGGCTCAGACTCATACTGTTGTGGGATGGGTATTTTGGTTGGTTTTTGTCACTATGGATGTATGCAGAGAGAGCAGAGATTTGCTTTCTCTTTAGGAACCCCTAAACTGCACCCCTCAGCTTGAGAACTTGCCAAGCTCTCACTGTTGGTTAAGGAAGAGAAGAGCATGAGTCCCCCAGCTATTAGTAGAAGGGGAAGTTTGGTACAGTCCTGGTGGCCTTGTGTAGTTCAGGGGTTCTGACTGTTTTCATCCTGAGGGCCTCTGCTTTCCCATCATGTTATACAAATTCCATGACCCACCTGTGCCATAACAATTGGTTTTCTGCATTTCCACTGAAGTTGGGGGTAGCAAGCAGGACAACTGCCTAGTGCCCCATACCACAGTGGGCCCCATGAAGCTGATTTCCTCAGGCTTCAGTTTCTGCTCCAGGTGGCAGGGTTCAGGCTTTGGCCTTCTGCCCTGGGTCCTAGTGAGTCTAATGCTGGCCCTGTTCTCTGGTTTGTTTTGATGGACACTCTAAACCTTCTACACCCCACCTCTGGGGCCCTGGTTGAGAACTGCTGGTGTAGACAACCTACATACATACGTAGCACTTATGTTCCCCACCAAAGGATCTCAAAGAGCTTTGTATTTCAGTTCTCACACCACCTCCCTGAGGTAGGCAGTATTCCCATTTGAAGTAATGGGGGCAGAGAAATTAGGTGAAGCACCGAAGGTTACAGAAGAATTCTGTGGCAGAACAGAAGAATTCTGTGGCAGAACTCAACACAAGACAATCTGAGTTTAGCTGCATATTCCCTTGCCATGGAATTTTGTTTTACTTAAATAAAATTAAAAATTAAAGCAAGGAAAACTGAAGTCTGCTATTTCCAGATACACGCTCTGGTGCACATATCCAGGGCTCTGACTTAGTAATTTACAATAAAAGTCTAGATAATCATACGGACACTATGAAAACAAACTCACACTAATCTGATTCAAATGCACTGCAGCAGTATCAGAAAATACCTGGGTATAAGGGTAGAAGAGGGTACAGACAGCACAGTAGGGCTCACTTAGGGCAGCAGCTGCATTGAATTTGCGCTCAGCCGGGAAGTTATGTGCTTTATTCTTCCACTGCAGGGAAAGTAAAGACTTCAAAGCCTCTGGGTCACTCACATCCTCCTCCCCAGAAAATGGAAACGTTTCTAGAGTAAAATGAGCAAGGAGAAGTGTCTTCAGTATGGATGAAATGCAGCAAGAGGGTATAAAATAAACACTCCAGTGACACTTAGGAGAAGTAAGAAACACCACCATCACTTAGTTCTTCTATAGCACTTTTCGTCCATTGGTGTCAAAGCACTTTGCAAAACCAGCAATCATTATCTCTCTCTCTTACAGACAGGGAAACTGAAGCACAGAGGGAGAGCGACTGGGCCAAGCTCACATGACAGGTGAGAAAAAAGAGAAGAGAACCCATGTTTCCCAACCCTCTGAGTCCCAGGTTCTGTGCTTCGGACCACACGGCCTCCCCTCGTTAAGCCGCGTTCAAGGCATGCAACACAGACCTATAGAAATCTGCTTCTCTCCAGGCAGCAGTTTCATCTTTCAGGAAATTGCCTGATGAGTTGTTTGTCCAGGCCAGTTCCCAAGAAGGCCTGAGCATCATCCAGTCACCAGCTGCGAGTGGCAACTCTGTTCTCAATTGTGGGTGCACTTTGAATTTGGCTCTCGGGCATAATTTGTCTGGGTTCTACTCTGCACTTTTCCCCCCAACCCTTTTTCATCAGTTGCAATCTACTGAGCAACCTTCATCTGCTTCTGGCACAGGTCTGGCAGGCAGCAGTTTGTACCCAGGCATTCTTTGATTCTGCAGCTGTGGAGTCCACCTCTTGCCTCAGTTCTGGGGTCCAGTTTCTAAGCATTCATTGTAAAATAGTTTCTCATCTCTACTAGTACAATGAAAACTTTCCATGCGTGGCCCAAGTATAAAATACCATAGCATTGCCCAAGTCTGCCAAAAGCCCAAAGCAATAGCTCTGAGCAGTAGGGAGTCTCCTGTACATCTCAGTGCTATGTCAACTCTGAAGCCTAGTAACACACAAGGACTGTTCATTACTTGTCAGGGATGATTTTAGCAGAAACATCCCAAAACTACTTCCCTGTTCTTTCCTGGGTGTCAAAGCCCCATTCCTCCCCTACCGCACTGCCAAAGCCTCTCCTTGACAACTTTGACACATTCAAGTGCCTGAGGCACGTGGAAAAATGAACACTTGAGGCAGAGCAAAATATTAATGTAGCAAGGGATAGGATACCGATTGTATTATTCATTCTCTGGTTTAATTCAGTGGAGACCACTCTTCAAAAGCCTTTTGAATCTGCTGCAAGATTTTCAGCCTGATGCTCTGCAGGACCACAGGAACCAAGGGGCCCTGTAGTCAGGTCTATACCTCAGTTTGCCCAAGAGGACCTCAGCATTTGACTCTCCCCCATATAATTCCATTTATTCTAGAGGAGAATTAGGGAACACGGGTTCATGCCAGGAGCTATATACCCAAAAGCTGTACTTTCCTCTGGCCAAGGCTACGTCTTCACTATGAGTGAGAAGGGAGATTTCCCTTATCACGTACACGTGTGTGCACTAGTTCTCACCAAGCTAACACATGGCTGCAGTAGCTCTGGTAGTGGCCATAGAGACATTGCCTAGCGGTGCCAAATATGTGCACACGGGCAAGGGAATTACACCCCTAGCTTGTAGTGTAAACATAGCCTAACAGTGCCAAACTGCATTACCTGTGCTCAGCAGTGCAACAATGCCAGCTGTGTACAGAAGGCACTTATAGGGAAATATCAAGTACAGCTGGGCCAACTGAAAGTGATTTTCTAGGCTGGTATTTTGAAGTCCTGATCTGCCAATTGAGTAAGATCACAGACTTACCTTTTCTCCTTCCCTCTCTGCTGCACCTGCAGCCTGTCTCCAAACAGGAATTTAATCACTGATTGCCTGGAGCGTTCTTCCCAATTTCCCCATGATGTTTCCCCCCACGCTTCCGGTAGCCAACAGATCTCACCCAGAAAAGTAGAAAAAGGCAGAAACACACACTAGAGCAGGGTTTAGTGTTCAGCAACACTTCCTTTGGAGTGCATAGAGCCCTGCCACAATGTGTAAGAATCTTGGGCCACAACGTTATATTAGGTCCACACCAGCAATTTGTCTGCATGTGACAAGCCACTGGCTCGCTAAGCAAGCAGCCCACACACATCAGTACTCTGGAAAGCCATTTGCTCTCACCTTCATCACTTGAGGTCTCCTGTTTAACCACAGATAATGGGGATCGGGTCGGTGGTTTGCCCAGTGGATGACGGCGACTTTTCTTTATCTCCATCTTCATTTTTGAAAAAGCAGAAGTGGCCTGAAACAAACCAGAACATGTTATGTGGGAACCCAAAAGTTTTGGGGAGTAGAGGTGCAACAGAGACCAACTCAAGCTAATTCCCCAGGATGAGGCCTTTAACCCACACAATCATCAGCGCCTCTGGGTAGGATCAAAGCACTCCTCACCAGTAATTTTGGTAGATAGGGCCAACATCTTCCCATAAGATCATGCCAGGTAAAAGAAATTACAGCATTTTCCTCTAAACAATATAATCTCAGTCAGACGAGGTTTGCCACTGTCTCTAGCCTCTGAAAAGTTGGATCAGTCATGTCACAAACATACTCATTTTATTTCAGCTGGATACCCCAGGGTAAAAATTTTCTCTCAGGGAGTTTTGAAGTGCCCTTCATTACAACATCTAAGGTAAATGAAGTCTGAAGTTAGAGATCCTTCGTAGATTACAAGGAATTTTCTGCTCTTCTTCACTCCCTGGACAAGGTAGCTTTGTGAACACCTTCACACTCACTCTCACACTCATACACCCCTACACCATCATCCTCAGGATGGACACAGTGGAAGTGCTTTGTCAAAGAGTAAGGTCTTGCAGTGAGCTTCGAGTGTCTTGGAGTGAGCTTGGAGTATACTCCAGGGGGGCCTGTTGTGGCTCACTCCATTGAGGAACTAGGGAGCTGCATTCTGCAAGAACTGGGACATATGTATTTTATCCACAGTCAATCCCAGAAATAGTGAATTTCAGTCACCTATCCTGGAGGTGACCAAGACCTTGTCTACACTAGAGAAAAATGATAGATAACAATGCCTTTCAATTGGTGGAAAGCACCCTTGCATTCTGTCAAAAATCTGCTATAACAGATTGTTTTGCTGGGTGTTAATGAAAATTATCCTGAAAATTTTAGTAGCAAGTTTCAATCAATGCTAACTCCACTGATTGAGTACCCAAGGGGACCCATCCACTACAGCAGAGGTCTCACTGCTGTGCTCTACTGCATCACCCACTGCAAAACTGGCCTCTCTGGTCAACTTTCTCCACACAGCTATACAAGAATCAGTGTCGTAAGAAACCACCTACCCATACATGTAGCATTGCCTGGAGTTTGATTACAAGTGATTTTCCAAGTGACTTTTTGAATGGTATTTCAATTCTACTAGATTGCAATTGCTGTCATCGTCTTGTCCCATGGTAATCATACCAGGCCACGAAATTCAAGAATGAATTCAACAACTTGCAAACAGTCATTTGGTAAGGAATCGATTCAAAATGTCTAATCCAAAAACAAATTTCACTTTCCTTACAGTGTTACATTCAAAAGCGTGAGCAGGTTTGGAAGCCTCCTTCCGATATCTTGCAAAGTGGATATATCTTGGTCCTCATCTGATTTCCACTCTTGCAGTGTAGTGAAGACCCTCCAGTGATGACCATCCCAACCTCAGCATGGTACTGTGGTGTTCCCAGAAAAAAAATCTCTGGCTAATGTGGATCTGGCAATAATCCCTCCACAAAGTTGAGGAAGAGAGTTTGGAAATATGATACCTTAGTGTTCTACTGCCTGGTCCCTGGAAAACCTTTACACTATCTCTCCTCAGTGAAGCGATCAGCATGCCCCTTCCCAGTTGGGAAGA